TTAATTTTATAAAAAAATTTTCTAAAAACTTTTTAGAAATCTTACTCATAAATACTAATCTTTATCATTACATCACAAGTTCACAACTTATAAATTCCTACTTAAATTTTTTGGCTAAGAATATAAATCGATAACACATATATATTTATTGAAAAGGAAGGTTCGCGGTGGCTAAAGAAAATCAATGGTTAATCTTATATGGTAATAATGGGTTAAAAACAGAGGGCATCAGGCCAAATAATTAAACTCGTCCACAAGTGTTTTTGCCATCATGCTTTCATAATCACATCATTTTTTTAACTCACGCCTTCACCATCTTGATGTGAGAGATTCAGATATATATTACAATTGTACAAATGAATACGCTATATATTAAATTTAACACTTTGGTTTATGAAATTGCCATGCTAGATTTTTTCATCTTAAGATAATAGTTGCTTTTGATTCTGTTCATAGATTAGATTTTTTTTTTATATAGATCAATTTATATTTTTAAGAAATAATTAACAATAAAAAGATGTTGGTAACAAGTTAAAGAATTAAAATAAAATTTTACCCCATGCTAAGTAACAACAATAGAGTTAAGGTTAGAAAATATTTGTTTGTCCCAAAATTGGGAGTAATAATAAAAGTAAAACTACTAATTTTTTTATTAAAAAAATTATTCAAACACAATGCTTTTACCGCAGCAAAATCTTCCAATCTTATGTGCCAAGAGTTTTAATGTCTTCACCCTATAAAATGCATGAATTTATTTAATAATTAAGTATTTTTTCAAATTATAAGTAATGGAGAACCCTGATATGTGGTTCATGTGACTATTGCATGGACATTCCACTTATATCACTGAGATTCAATCCCCTTACCTTCATTCCTCATCCCTTACGGTCGAATTCCTTTAGTACAAAAAAATTGATAAGTAATGAAGAGAACCCTAATTCAATGCAATATTCAAATTTACTTATTGTTAGTATTTAATAACAAATAATTTTACCACTTGACCTTCGGGCCAAGCGGTTTTAGGGCTATCTTGCAGTGCATTTCCTTTTTTCTTTATGGTGGGTTCGATACCCACCCTTGTAAACTTGGTCAAAAAAAAAAAATACCAAATAATTTTAACAGATCACACTTGTTGTCCAGGTATCCATGGATGAGATGCTTTGTAGATAGCCATTAAACTGAAAAAAAATAAAAAAATGTATGTGAATCAACATTTTATCTTATACTAATTGAATAATTAATAGCATTAGTTGGTCCACCCATGCCGTTCATTGGTGGGACTGCACAATCATTAGATCCACATGGCCGGCCGCCAATGGGCAAAGGCTGCTACTTGAGTCCCACGGATCTACGAATTTATTTTTTTATATGTACTATACGTATATGTTTAAGTATTTTAATAGTAAATAAATAAAAGCATTGTCCAAGTAAAAATGATACGCTGCATGTTGGTTCATTTTTATTTACTTGCAGCTTTGACCTCAACCGTCCACTACATCACCTTACCTAAATTACGTTCTTTATTCTACGCAATTATAGTCTCTGAATGATACCAAAAAAAAAAAAAAAACTGCTTGTATTATTTAATGCTGTTCAGGATAGATAAAGAAAGACAAGAAACTGTTGTTTCTGAGTAAGGCTCTTTCTTTCTTCCTCAACAATTTCGTCTGAATTACTTTAGCGGGATTTTTGGGTGTTGTTCTGTTTTTTCATTTGTCAACTTCTTGCAGAACACGCCGTGACGCCAATCCCAATCTCTCCCTCATGTTATTTGTTGGAGTGGAATCGTTTTCTAAGATATAATATATATATCACGCAATGAAAATTTTCCAGTTACAATATCTTTGATGGTACTGGGTTCAAGTTTTGCTGGGATCCTGGAAGGCTGTGGCAATGAATCTTCAAGACTGGTTAAAGATTCTCTATCTGGTCTTTGGCTTTTGTTCTGCTCTCTTTCTGGGTGCCGTGAAAGGTTCTTATTTTCTATGGCTTTGACTGCAGTTTCTTGATGCTATTTTTTTTTTTTTGTATTCCGATTGTGGTTGTGAATTTGGTGCTGGGGTTTTGGTATTTTTGATGTTTATATTCTTTTTTTGGTTGATTGTTTGCAGGTTTATTGGTGGGTCCTATTGCCGGTCTCACATTTATAACAGGGAATGTTGCTGTAATTCTGGGATTGTTGCCTTCACATGTTGCCTGGACTGTCTATACGGTCATAAAGTAAACAGAACAAGATTCTTTGATGTCTCTTTATATACTGTTTGTTTCTGTTTAAATGGTGATTTTCTGAAAAAGGGTCTTTGATTTTATAATCTTACCAGAAAATTGGCATGTGATTTCAGGATTAATAGATTTGATACACCCCTCAAAGTTGCTATCTTGCTTGCTTTGCCTGGTCTTTTTGGGATATGGTTGTGTTTAAGCATAGCTGGGAGTGTTCTGGTTGGGGTTGGCTATGGCTTCTTCACTCCCTGGATTTCAACTTTTGAGGCCTTTCGACATGATAATGAATCCAAGAAATTCTATCACGGCTTAGTGGTACACTTTTGAATTAGTTTATAGTTTGAATCCCCTTTGCTTTTTCCGTCACTGTTGCTTTTTCTAATCTTCTTTGTGCGGCCTATTAGGATGGGACATGGGGAACTGTAAAAGGAAGCTGTGTTGTGGTTAGGGATTTTGCTGACATATGTTATCATTCTTTCCCTCTTTACTTGAAGGAGTTGCGTGAATCCCCTGATTCAAATGACCACCAAACTCTTAGGTAAAGTACATGGACTAATACTGTTTTACTCCCATTTTTAGGACAGATGGAACTCTTCATCTTGAGGTTTTCGTTTGCTATGAATTAGGTAACTGAACTCTCATTTTTTAAGCTGGGTGCAGGTTGATTCATGTTCCTGGACTTATCATTGTTGGATTGTTGGGATTAATTGTGGACCTACCCTTTTTCACTCTGATTGCTGTAATTAAGAGTCCATACATGTTGTTCAAAGGCTGGTTTAGATTGATACATGATCTAATTAGCAGAGAAGGTCCATTTCTTGAAACAGCTTGCATCCCCATTGCTGGTTTGACAATCCTCATGTGGCCACTTGTCGTTGTTGGGAGCATATTAGCAGCAATCTTTTCAAGCTTCTTTATTGGATTGTATGGATCATTCATTGTATACCAGGTTTGCCTTTGTCTTCTGTATCTCCTTATTGCTGCATTCTCACTAATTGAACATAATTAACCTTTTGCATTTTATGGATGCAGGAGAGATCTTTTATGAGAGGTGTGGCCTATGTGATTGCAATGGTTGCAGAATTTGATGAGTATACAAATGATTGGCTTTATCTCAGGGAGGGGACTATCTTCCCAAAGTAATTACTTTTCCTTTTCATTCTGACCTCTTAGACCCGAATTCAGCTACAGTACTTCATTTTAATTGTTGAAATTGCATTTTTCACAGCCAGGCCCCATTATCGAAAGAACATGGTTTCTGAGTCCTCTGAGTTTTCTGTTGGACAAAATCATGTAGCTGGAAGCATATTAAATCCTGCTTCTGCTGATGCCCCTGCAATGCTGGTGCCAAGCTTAGTTCCTTCAAGAACAGTTAGAGAAGCTATACAAGAAGTGCAAATGGTGCAGGTAACTTAATTTTATTTTACAAATTAAATGTAGGTATTTGAGAACAGATATGTTACAATGCAGTGAAAAAACTCCCTGCCATCCACTAATGGTTCCTTTAGTCTTATAAGAACAATGCAGAGAACCCAAATGGCAGACTAGAATAGGTGGGTTAAGAACAAATAACTGGCTTAAGAAGGAATTATGCTCACGGTTTCACCCTCTTGGTTAAAGCAGAAATATGCAGTAGTGTCTTATCAATAGTAACTACAAACTCTTGGTTTAGTTCCTTACTGGTTGAATTAACCTAAGCTAATGAAAGGGAATTGATACATAGAAAGGCGTTTTTCTCATAATTCAGTAATCTTTTAGTGGATGGTCTCCAGTTCTTTCTTTCTTTTGAATGGCAGTAAAATTTATCATTTGTACAAAATTTCTCAGATTTGGGGACATATGATGAAGTCCTGTGAATTAAGGGGCAAGGAACTATTGGATACTGAAGTCCTAACACCGGTGGACCTCTGCAATTGGTTGAAAGCAAAAAATGATGATGAGGCAACTATCATAGGTGTTGGTTTGCCCTGTTATTCCCTCCTCCAAAGTCTCCTTTATTCCATCAGAGCCGGTTCTAGTGGTTTGTTGATACTTGACAATGTTGAAGTTACCTATTTGAATAGACCCAAGGACAAACTGCTGGACTTGTTCTTCAATCCCATTATGGTCTTGAAAGAACAGATTAAAGTTATAAATTTGGGAGATGATGAAGTAAGGTTTTTGGAGAAAGTAGTACTCTTTGGAAGTGATACTCATCGAATGGATGCATGGGACAACGGTGGCTCATTGCCTCAAGATGCTCTTAGAGCCGCTCAGATTAAGGGCATCAGTAGAAGGTATGCAAATTCATCTTCCCCTGCATTGCTTTCTCAACCCCTTTTGTTCATCTACTGTTCTATTGGTTTATGCTTCTTCACTTGCACATATAATGAATCTATACATTGTCATTTGATGGTGGAAACACAATGGCAGGATGCTTGGAATGGTAAGAGGTATATCAAAGTTTCCAACTTATAGGAGGAGATTTCGACAAGTCGTGAAAGCTTTAGTCACGCATGGTGTGGAGAAGGGAGACTCATCTCTACCCAATTCCATAAAATCATCAGTTACTTCCATTGAGGAAGTCTAGAATCAACAATGGCAATCTAGACTCTTCTTACTCATACACAGGCTTGTGGTCACAAATTAAGGATATGTTAATTGTACTTTTTTTTCATTACTTTGTACAGAAAACCACAAAATGTAACTTTATATTAAACATTTATGACAGGCACAATTTTAATTTTAATTAATCAGTTGATAAAATGACACATGCACAATTTTAATTTGTCAATTATTTTTAACACATGCACTATTTTAATTAGTCAATTGATAAAATGACACATGCATAATTCTAATTAGTCAATTAATAAAATTAAAATTAATTTTTATTTTCTTATAACATGCATAATTTTACTCTTAATCAGTCAATTGATAAAATAACACATATACAATTTTAATTAGCTAATTAATAAAATGATACATGCACAATTTTTTCTATAACTTTTATTAATACACTCTTAGGTGCACAGGTTAAAAATACTCTTCATAAAAAGCATTATTGTTTTCTTATTAGGTGTTGCCGTTTTAGGTTACACCTCATACTTCAAAATGCTGTAAATTTATTTGGGGGTAAACCATCTGGAAAACAACTCCTTAAAAAGTTTAAAAATTCTGTGAAATTACTAACATTGTCCAAACAATCCACAGAAGCGAGGAGTTTATTTGGGCTTTTTGATTGGATTTAAGCCCATTTAAAGAATTGGATCTGATGGGCCTGGACTTTGCAATTTAAATTTGACGTTCACCTACAGATCCAGAAAAGAAGAAGATAGAGGAGTTAAGTCAACAAGGAAGTGGGACCCAGAAAAGCAGGAAGTGGGAGTGTGTGTCGGGGCACCAGATCCGAGAGAGCATCGCAATTAGCTCTCCTTCTAACAATTTTTACCGTTACCATTATTATCAAATTTAAAAAAATTTGACCGTCTGCTTAGCAGCTCCGTCAAGCCCCATCTACCTGCCCGTCTTTTTCTTCACCAACCCGCGCTTATTTTATTTTATTTTATTTTTTCTGAATAGAAAGAAATTTGGGAAAAAAGAGGAGTGCTATTACAGTTTGAATTTTGATTAAAATTAAAAATTACGTATATTTGAATTAAGATAATTAAATTTTTGAATGCAATCTATGTCTAAATTGATTATCATTTTTTAATTTAGTGGTTGAAATCTTTAATGAAATAAAGATCAACTTGAATTACATTTTTAAAATTTGTGGTTGATGTTTCCTCCTCTCTCAATTTTTTTTGTTCAAAAAAAAGGAAAGCAAAGAAAAGAAAAAAACCCTCGCTTAAACCATAACCCCAAAAATAAAGAAGTTGCCATTCTCAACGCATAGCCTACATGCAACGACCTCTCTCGGTTGTTCAATGGCGGGGAAGAAGAGTGCGGTGAAACCACTGTAGATTAATTACTGTGTAGTACGCAGTACAGGTTGGACTGTCCATTCATAAAAGGGATAAATAACAATATCATTTAATTTATATTCAATGCCCCGAAACAACTTTGATGAGCAATCACTGATCCATGATATGATGCTTCTTTTCTTTTTCTTTTTCGTTTTCATTTTTTTAATATTTACTATTTCTCTAAGAAGTATGTTTTCTGGTGCTGTTTGGCAAGGTATCTATTGATGACAAGACATTAGCCAGTCATACAATTTGAGTGTAAAACTGGGTAAAATATAAATATTGTTTAATTTTTTAGGACTAAACATGAAAATATGAGAGATGAAAATTTTAATTAGGGAATTTTAATTAGAGTGATTCCGTGTTTCCGAAAGTGAAGACAGTGCATTGTTAACCGACTAGCTAGCTCAACTCTAACTTCTTATGTTCATATTGTATTGAAAATAAGATGAGATATTTGCATTACGTGTATATATATGGGTTTGAAATTTATTCCATATATTGTTATTAAGGTAAGAATTAATGATAATTTAGACTTGATAATTTATTTTGACAAAAAACTTTAATTTATTAGTAACTTATTTCATTGTTAAAATTAATTATATTGAATTATAAAATATAAATAATAAAAAAAGAGACCTCTTATTTTAAAAAATTCATTACTCTTTTAATAATTACCATTAAGTATTTTAAATTACCTTAGATTGTACAGTATTTTTTTTTTTGAAACTTTAAAAACTTAGACAGCAAAGAAAATTGGAGGGACCAACAAGGGGTTGGATCAAGTGATAAGTGACTTGTTTTAACTTAAGTAAGGTTTCGAATTTGAGACTTTATGTACGCAGTAGCTCCTGCTGAGAAATTCACCCACCATTTCTAGGTGCATGACGCGGGTTGAGTCCGGATTAATCGGAGTGAAACCTCGATATCGAGCGAAAAACCAGAAAAAAACAATAAAAAAAAAAATCGGAGGAAAAAGGGCGAATAGAGAGGTCCGATGGGTGGGGATAAGAGAATTAATTTAGACCACCATTCCGATCCTCAACACCTATCCGAAGCTTTCAAGGCATCGTGCGTGGACCTTATTCTCATCCGTACTCTGGCCCCTACCTCCTCTAATCAGATTATCGCAACGCATTATCTATAGTTTTGATGTTTTTAAAAATTAAACTATCGAAAAAGAAACATACAGTAAAAATAAACGATGTTCTGCTGTAACAAGAAAAAAGACACCGAAAAAAGGCAAAATGTCTCTTACTATTTAATTCAGGTTGAATTAATAAATTACTGATAGCAAAAACTAAAGAAAAAGTTAAATTTACTGAGTGTGTACTGAAGTTCAGTGGCTGTACCAGAGACGGATGGAAGGAGATAGTAGCAGATTTAACAGATAGAAACAGACACGACAATTAGGGGCTAAAAATCATAATAAAAGCAGCAGAATGGGAACAGACTTCGTTATTGCGAAACCGTTTTGTTCCTCCCTAAGCAGATTTTGCCATTTTCTTTTGCAGAGAAGACTCCTCGTACAGGTTACAACCCAAAGCTGCTTCTACTTACATTTTCGCTAATGGCGAGAAGAGCTGTACATGGAATCAACGGAAAAGAGAAAAAGAAAGACCTAATTAAAGAAGAACTGAGAATTATAAATTCCAGTGGTACCTAAGAGAAATCGCCACTGTTGATTTTCTAAGAATTCGTAGCTTTGCTTTTGATCAGTTCCTCATGGCTTTAAACGAACCCACTCGAAACGTCCATCCAGCGGCTCGTCCTTGACAATATCGTAGTTATACCTAAAAGAGACAACAGAATTTTCTATTTTTAGACTCTCAATTCTTTTTGGTTTTTGGTTGATAATAATAACAATAATAATAAAAATAATAACAATAAAAGCACTCCTTGTTTGGCTTTTGAGAAACTGTTGTGAAAGAAAATTAAAGAAAGAAAAAGAGAGAGTAGAATTTTTGGTGCAAGTTTTGTTTTTCTTTTAGCTGAATTACGAGAAGTTTTGAGAGAATGTGCATCATGAATACATTCTTACTTGTCAACAAATTGCTTTTGGAGGTCTTTCTCCGCTGCTGTGAAGAATTCTTGAAGCTCCGCTTCTGTTGGCATTTTCTCTGCCGCTGATCTACGGTGACAGTTCACCGCTGATGGCTTCGACGTTGAATCCAGTTCGTCTGATTCTGTAGTTTCTCTTCTGCAACGAAGACAAAACGGTAAGAGGAAATTCGAGAGTGGTGTATGTAAACACCAGATCGATCGAGAGGAAAAGTGGAAGAGAATTTTAAAACGGAAAATTCAAATGCGTCACACCTCCGTTTGAATTCGAAATTCAGAAAGACGTGACAAAATGAGCTACAGTGCCTCAAATATTAAAATTTTCAAAAAAATAATCAAAAAAACACTAGCACTGACCTCTCACTACAGCTATACGTGGATGTCTCGTCTTCAAAATTCTCCGCCTGCAAAAACAAGTAATTAATTCAAAACCGAGAAGTGAAAATCTGAATTTAATACACAAAAGCAGTTAAAGCTCGACAAGCCGAATTCTAAAATTTCATAAAGGCGGCCATTAAATTTCGCCACCAGAAAAACCGAATTCACCTCCAGATCTGGCAATTCGATCCTCTCACTCGATCCATTGCTTGAGCAGCACGATACTTCTTGATCCGAGCTAGAGCTCAAGCGCCGGTGATCCACCGATTCCTGCACTACAATTCTTCGGTTCCTCAGCTGAATATAGGTCGACGAAGAGGATAACTCCAATTCCGTCACCGCGCAGTGATTCAATTTCCTTTTCCTTTTCCTCGCCGTTTTTTCCGTCGTCGCCATGGCTAGTGCTCGAGCTCGCGTTCTCACCCCTACCTGAGCAGGCGCCGCCATCTCCACCACCGCAATTTTCGCGATTGCTCTGCACTTCTTCACCATGGTTAATTTTCCTTCGCTTTCTCTCTCTCTCTCTCTCTCTCTCTCTCTTTTCTGGAACTCTATTTTATTGCTCGTTTGCTAGTTTTGTTGATGATGATGACGACAAGGAGTAAACGTTGAACGGTGAGGATTCGTTTCGGCTTTTAAAGGGTAGGTGGTGGTCCAAATATTCCATAACCAGCGTCGGAGGATCTCTGACGGGAAATTTGACGGCGCCGTTACGCTGGTCTGGCGCGTTCGGGATTGCGCCGATGGTTAAGCTAATGAAAGAACGACACGTAAGTCATGCACCACGTTAGTAAGACAGTAACGCTGTATAACCAAGTCCGTTCGGTGGGTTGGGATCTGGTTCTAGGCGTAATTATCGTGTGCTAATGGAGTTACCTTTTTGTCCTCGTTAATTTTGGTAAACCATGGACATGCCATTAATAATCTACTCATTTTTTCTCTCCATATGTTGTTTTTAACTTATAACAAACATCCTAATCACAGTAATAACAATAGTAGGAGTAATTTTTAGAATTTATATTTACTACAATGGTAAAAATATTAATATATCAAAATAAGAATGGATAACTATTTTCTAAAGAGAACGTTAGAATAATAAAATATTTTGAATACCAAAGTCTAATTACGTACTCATATACATATATATGTGGTAGCAAAAAAACTTTTAAAAAGAAATTATTTATTGTGTAATTGATATATGTTTTCTTTATTATTTTTAAAGGTAAAGATAGGATATTGCTTACCAAAAAATGTTTAATATATAATTAGGATTATAAAATATTAATTTTTAGATGATAAAAAGTCATTAATAATAAGTGTAAATCCCTCCATATATTAACTAGTATTTTACAATTTAACGGCTTCCCTTCTACTTTCATATGGAAAAGAAATTATTTAAAGTAAAATCTTATCTTCTCTAAATAAAACTCAACTAACACATGGCCGTGGGTCTAGAGCATGTACCAAAACTAGGCATGGTAAGAGAAAAATTTTTTGGTTGCAAATTGAGGGTACTACCACTCACTTTAATTAAATTCTCAGCTCCATTTAATTACTCGATACATCAAGTTATTAATAAAGAGCGATCGAATTTAGCAAATTATTGTACGGCAGTGTCCTGTACCCTTAATTAGAGCCGCCGGCCGTCCCTTAGAATGCAACCAAAACCTAGCATGGTCTCTGAGCTAAACTGTGCGTACTAGGTAGGTCTTCTTTCTTGGAACTTGGATGTCCAAACGGAAGACTTGGCACTTAAGGTCATTTAATTTAGGTCGATAACAACTTAACGGTTAGGTAATATAGAAAACGAATATGCTGAAACGTCAATGTCTTACATGCTTGATTTGTCGATCCGTTTTAGAATTGCATCTCATCATCATGTCACCATTTCACCCCTTACGGTTCTAGTACTCTCTCACGTGGGAGGCTCCACGAATTCGTTTCCTTGGCGATTTGGACCACTCTAGTAAAAATTTCACTCAAATACATGACCCTATCCTGAGTTGGGTTAACCGGTAATTTTTGATAACCTGTTGTTAAAAGTTCAACTTTCGGTGTTAGTAATCTTTTATTGATACAATTAATATATATAATTATATTATATTTTTAATAATTAAAATAAATAAATAAATAAATATGTTAAATTGAATATATATCAATTATTTTTTTTTTAACGTAAATATTACTATAAGAACTTATTAAGATTGATGGCTTGTTTGATTAACCTTTTTTTTTCCTCACCCTAAATTACTGAAATTTTGATATTGGAACTGGCATATAGAGAGATATTACCTGATCGTGTTCGTAAAGTTGGCAACCTGAAACTGAAAAATGAAGCTGCCGGTGGAGAGAATCAATGCAAGAGAGTATATGGAGGTTTGATCTGACGACACTTCAGGTTTGCCACGGAAAATAATATAATTTCCATTCATTTCCCATTTATACAGATGAGAGAGTAATAAACTCTTAAGTGGAGCATATAACAATAATAATAACAATAATAGTAACAATAACACTGACCAGCAAGGTGCTCGGCCCATCTTTGGATGCTCTGGAAATTTTTTCTATTTTGTGGGGGGTCCATATTCCATAACCATGCATGTATCCTCACTTTGTATAACTCAACACTGTGCACAAGTACAATGATATATATATGATGTTTCTTTGGATGCGGGACTGACATTTTGGGTAATTTGTAAAATTCCAATGTTGGAATTACTACTCCTTCACTAAAAAAGATTAAAAAAAAAAAAAAAAGGTTAGAACTGCTATTCTAGTGTTTTTTACTTCATTCGTAACAAAGTTATTTTTCTTTATATATATATATATACAC